CCTTGGTCACTCCCGACCAATCCTCCCATCCCTTCCCTACCATTGGTTTTGAACTATTTGTTGTTCCCTTGTCCTTAGGTTGGCCAGCCCTCCTCCCTTCCCCTACCTCCCACACTCCCATGTCCTTCCGGGGCCATCGGTTCGGCACCATCCTTGTAGTCATTCTTTCATTGATTTTTCTTTTGCAGTCATATGTCCGTTTCTCTCATTAAGGGTCTTCCTTTGGGGTTTCATTGACTCTAGTTAACCAAGTATGATGCCTTTCTCCAGGACTGGTCCCTCCTGATAACTTATTCAGAGTGCATGAGAGGAAGTCTCAACGCCTTTGCTTCTAAGGAGCAATGCAACTGTACATTTTCCAAAACAGATTTGTTTACCTTGGTAATTCCATGGTTTAGTCAATATTCTTCTGAAACACTATAATTCAACAGCATCACGTTTCACTGCTCTTCCTTATCTGGCCACCCTTACCATCCCTTCTTCTTCTTCGTTTGGCCGTTTCCACTTGCATATGACGTGATATAAAACACCATGGATTGGGGTCAAGCACATCTTAAATCTCTAAAGCACATCTTTATTCTTTAAGAGATCTTTTGTGGGAGATTTTCCCAGTGCAACAAATCATTTGATTTCTTGCCTACTGGTCTCGAGCTTTGCCAGAGGTGTTTCAAGCCCTCTTCACTTCACTTCAAGCCAGGTTGTGCCACCTGTATAAGGCAGGTAGTTAATGCACCTTCCTACAATCCTGATATTGTGTTCTTCTTCAAATAGTCCAGCTTCTCAGAGTATTTGCTTAGGATACAGATTGTATAGTATGGTGCAAGGAAACAACCTGGTGCATACCTTTCTTGATTTTAAACCATGCGGTGTCCCCTGGTCTGTGTGCAAGACTGCCTCTTGCACAGATTCCACAAAAGTACAAGTAAGTGTTCCAGAATTATCGTTCTTCCAAATGTCATCCATAGCTTGTTATGATCAATAGTAGAATAACTGCATCATCAATAAATTGCAAGTTAACATCTTTCTAGTGTTCTCTACTTTTAGCTAAGCTCCATTAGATATCATCATTACTGTCCTTTATGCTTCATCCTCTCTAGGATCTGGATTGAATATCCGAAAGCTCCCTGTTCATGTACTGCAGCAACTGGTTTTGAATTATCTTCAGGAACATTTTACTTTCATGTGACAATAATGATATTGTTCAATAATTTCTATGTAATGTTGGGTCATCATTCCTTGGAATGGGCATAATTGTGCATTTTTCCCCTGTTGATTTCAAGTTTCTTCCCATTGACAAGTAAGAGGTGCACCAGTTCATTGAAACGTTTCAATTGGTATTCTATTAATTCCTGGAGCTTTCTTTGTTGCCCATACCTTTAGCACGGCTTAGACTTTTTCCTTCAGTACCATTATTTCCTGATCATTTCTACATCTTGAAATGGTTATATGGTGGCCAATTCTGTTTAGAATGGAGATTTTGTATTTTCCTTTCATCTTCTTTTGATGCTTCCTGCATGTTCACTATTTTGTTGATAGAATCCTTTAAGATTGGAACCAGAGATTTATTTTATCCCCTTTGGATTGTTTGGTTCTGTTTGTTCAGCTTGCAAAATGCTGAGCATGTTTTCTCTAGGTCTTTGCACATTTCATTATAATAACTTTACTTTCTCTTCTCAGTTGCCCTTTATCTATTCAGCTCTTTAACTTCAATAATAATTTCATTATTTCTTCCATTTGCTTTAGCTATTCTGCATTCAAACATGTTTTAGAGTCTCACACCCATTTTAGTCTTTTTTAAATTTGTCATCTTTTTAATGTCCTTTTAATTTCTTCATGTGTGATGTTCTTGTTACTCTTACACAACTCGTCTGGGCTTTGTTCATTAGTGTTGAGTGCATTAAATCTATTCTTGAGTTGGTTTCTAAATTCAATTGAGATATATCCAAAGGCATGTTTTTTTCTCCCATGGACTTGTTTTAACTTTCTTCAGCTTCTATTTGAACTTTCATATGAGCAACTGATGATCAGTTCTATATATAGTCTTCTAGTTGCTTTATTTTGGTTGATGATGTTAAGTTTCTCCATTATGTTTTTCCTCAAATATATTCAGTTTGATTCCAGAATATGCTATCTCTAAGGCCCAGGTGTACAGGTGCCAATTACGGCGTTGAAAAAGTTATTGGCAATGTAGAAGTCATAGGTCTGGCGAAAATCTCTTGTGTGATCTGTGGTATTTCCATTACTCAGACCATATTTTCTAACTACCGATCTTTTTGCTTATTTCTAACTTTCACATTCCAATCACCAGTAACTATCCTTGCTTCCTGATGACATATTTGATCGATTGCAGACAGAAGTTGGCAGTGTTATTCAATTTCTTTTCATTGGCTTTAGTTATTGGTATGTAAATTTTAATAATGGTTGTATTAACTGGTCTTTCCTGTAGGCATATTGATTTTATCATATCACAGTATTATATTTCAAGATATATAATTTTTTTTTTACTTATCAAGGCAACACCATTTCTCTTCAATTTGTCATTCCCACCATAATAGATCATACAATTATCTGATTCAGAATGGCCAATACCAGTCCATTTCAGTTCACTAATGTCTATGATACAGAACTTCATGAGTTCCTCATTTCTGAGGACTTTCAGTTTTCTCACATGTATGTATTTTATGCATCCACATTCATTTCATTAATGGATGTCTTTTGCTGTTGCTTCTCCTTTTGAGTCACGCCACATTAGCAAATGAAGGTCCCCAGAGCTTTACTTTATCCAAGTTATTAAGGTTGATTCCACTTTGAGGAGGCATCTCTTTCGCAGTCCTATTTGGAGTGTGTTCCAAATGGAGCTACTCATCTTTTGCCACTATACCAGACAAAGTTCTGATGCTGTTCATAAGGTTTCCAATGGCGAACTGAAAAGAACTTGTCCACCGGCTCCTTTTTCCTAATCTGTTTTAGTTTGGAATTTCTGTTGAAACCTGTCCATCAAGAATGACCCCACTGTTGTGGGAAGTACTGGTGACGTAGTTCCTAAACAATCACTGAAATATACAAGCCGCCACATTGCAACACACTGACCAGCTAGTGGTGGGTGGATGATAGTGTTAGGATTTGGAATATCCTGAGGTGTGAATCTTGGGAAATGTTGATGCAAAGACAGTGCATTGCAGGAGTAATTTCTTCTGAGGGCCGTGGGAGAGGAGTTAGGAATCAAAAGAGTTTTTCAGGAAGGGAGACATGAAGGTGTTAAAGGGGGTTCGTACAACTCATTACAATCCATACATCATCCATCCATTGTGTCAAGCACATTTGTACATTTGTTGCCATCATCATTATTTCTACTTGAGCCCTTGGCATCAGCTCCTCATTTCCCCCCTCCATTTTCCCTCTCCCTCACCATTTTTAGTTTCTTTAGGTGATTTACCAATCAAGAATACCTGTGTGCCTTCTGAGCCTGGATAAACTGATGCTTTATAAACTAGCTCTACTTTACTCAACTAAAGTCATAATATTAGGAGGATTTGGAAGGTGGAATGCTATAGCCTTCTCTAGTCCAACCCAGTCTCAGCAGATGGCAGGCCTGGTTCAACATTGTCTTATTTGACTTTGGCTCTTAGCCTACTTGGAAGATGTATAGTAGAGACGGAGGAAAAGGAGGTAGCAAAACAGCTGAACTTTTTAAAGATATGCCTCACAATCCGTTGCTTGTGTTAGGGTAAAAGTAGGTCACACACCTACTTTTCTTTGAACTCCCTCTCAACCTTCCACTTGCTATTTTGAAGATACTTCAATTATAGATATTATCTTTCGTGGATACCCCAAAAAGTTTTCCTGAGAATGTCAGGGACTCCATGTATATCATGTTAATGAGCTTTGGCAAGACATATTTAAATCTAAACTACGACTGTTAGGTGAGGTACTATTGGCTCTGGTGTTTTGTTTTGTTTTTAATCCCTCTTAATTTTGTTTCTACAGCTGTTGGTCATGGTAGTAAATGGAGTTGAAAGTTCTACGGTTGATCTTTAAATGTCTTTTTGGCTTCTGACTGGCCCGATATGGGACGTTATTTATCTTGCTGTACCCTCATTTTCTCTTATGCAAAATTGGATAATAATGTCTTGCTGGGTAGTCTTGAGAACAATATGAAAACTATTTCATTTGATATATGTTCCTAATGAGATATTTTGATTGCTACATAAAGCTGGTCCTTTAATAGGACGGCAAGGTAAAGGTTCTGGACCAGCGCCCACTCCTTCTTCTTTCCTCTGTGACCTGGACAATGCATTTGGGTTCCCAGTTTGGGGGTCTTCACTTATAAAGCAAGTTTAGCAATAATCTTTAATGCATTTTATGAAGGTAAAATGACATCCATATTAAAATATAAAGTATATTCATGATTGGAACTCTCAATAATGTTTTAAAACAGAATACTGAGATATTCTGTTTTATATACTGAGATATACTGAGAATACTGGCAAAAGATAATCTCCAGGCCAAACACTCGTGAACTGGGTTTTTTCCTTATTATAAAAGTATTACTTTAATATAAATTAGTATCTTTATGCTGATCCTGCCAAAAATACTTGCACAGAGAACCTGTTTTCATTTCTGTGGCAGAGTCAAACTGAAGCAAGACACAATCACTTCAGGAATAAAGCATGGAATTCAATTATAAAATTTATCTCCAAAATAAAGCAGAGCTCTTTTTGTGCATTTCATTTTTCAGTGTAACTTCTAGAAAGCAAACATGTGATAGATAGTCTATTTTATTCATAATGTATCAATAGGACTTTGAATTGACCAAAATACAGATTATCTATGTGGAACAAAGTTGTCATGAAGAAGCCTGGTTAAGAAAATATGACCTGGTTTACCTTGAGAGCATTTCAATTCAAGGGAGCTTGTTTCCTTGCATTTAAAAAAATAAAAATAGTCTACATTTATCTGGGCTAAATGTTAATATTCTTTCATCTTTGTTTTCTTGCAAGATAATAGTTGGAGAAACTGCTGTGTTTTGCCTACAACTAGCCACCAGAGATTTTGAAAATCAAGAAAAAACTATTTTAACTGGAGACTGCTGCTATATAAACCCATTGGTGCGGCGAACTGTCCGATTTCTTGGTATGTGCTCATTAAATTGTTTTTATTGTTGGTGAAAAAAAATGTTTGCCTACAAGCTAACCTTTGCAATGTTCAACATCTTAAGTACCTATAATTTGATTCCTTTAAAAATGTTTCAGTTTGGTTTAGAAATAAGCATTATATTCTGCTTTTTCTTGATATTGTAAGGGCCTGTTTAGGGATATCATTTCTTCTTCTTCTTCTTTTTTTAAGGGAAAAGAAGGAACACCACATTGAATATTTAATAATCTATTTAAAACTAAAAATTAGATAATTAAAATAAATTACTTATTGTGTTTCTGAAATATCAGAAGCAATGTTTTTGGGAAGAGCGATTATTCCAGGGAAGATATTGAATATCATGAAGGCTTGGAAACTAGAAGAAAGACTGTATTTGCTAATAACCTGCGCATGCAGAAAGAGCCCTGGTGGCATTGTGGGGACGCGTTGGGCTGCTCCCCACAGGGTGAGCAGTTTGAAATCACCAGCTGGAGAAGATGAATCTCTCTAAGCTCTCCACTCCGTTTCTGAAATGCACAGGGCGACTTTACCCTACTCTATGGGGTCACTATCAGTCTACCTAAACCAACGGGTAGAATATCTACCTACTGGCCATGAACCATACATGATCCCCCCAACCCCCTTAGGTGCACTTCCTAAGAGCCACCTCCAAAGAGAAGACCTCACATGGCTGGGGTCACTCCTTTAAGAAGACCATCAACTAGATGCTATAAAATATTGAGACATGGCTGTAACAAATCGACAGGTGCTCCACAGGAATGAGAGGAGAGCCTTACTGGAAAATCATGTGAAGACCAAGGGAGAGAGCGTCTACATTTCAGAGGCGCCTGTGCTTTTTTGTTGGTGGTGGAGATGGTGGGTAAATGGGGAGTAGCAACCTCACATGGGGAATGGATGCTATAAAGTAATTATAAGGAACATAAGGAGAGAAAAATCCAGTTCCTTAGTGAACCACACCATGGACTAAGCACTATGATGACCTTAGATGCTGGCCTTACAGGGAACATGGCATCCCCCAGGAGCCACACCAGAAGGACTCTACGTGGAAACTTGCTGAACTAACTCGGCCCTACCTCAAAACTATCTGTACCTTTGAACTTAGGGTGGAAATATCCTGAAAGGGGAGGAAGCAAAGGATGGCCACACCAAGACTGTGGAAATGACGGGCATTGGACCTTGGGTGGGAGCCCTGGTTCAGTGGATGTACAATGAAAGGGGACCAAGAGCCACCTCAGTACTTCCCTTGCATTAATATGACAGGTATTTATCTGATAGCTAAAGATCTGCCCTTATAAAAATTGGTACAGGGAATTTACCCCTAGCACCAATCCCCATATTCAATATATACAGAGCTTAATCAATTAATAAATGAATCTCTACAAAACAACAAATCGTGGATTGCAACTTGCAGTTGTACTCTTCTCACATAAACTCCTCTTATCAACAGTACCATAAATTCTATGCCATTTGATGGCATTTTGAGGTTACCAATGTAATCACCATATACCCTGGTGTAGAGGGGGGATGATGGACAGTTTTTCTTGTTCCCTTTGTTTTTCGGGGGAGGGGGGTTGTTTGTCTTTGATGTTTGTTGTTGTTGTTGATTTTTGTTCTTGTTTTTGTCATAATATGACCACAAATGTAAAACACAGTGGTTCATAACCCATGGGCAAGCAGATGGATTCTGGGTCCCCACTTAATTCTAGCCCTAATCCAAGCATAGTTAGTCTCCTAACAAAGCCCTGCTCAGACCCTCACCATCATGAAGATGATCACTGATAATACAGTGTTGAAGGTGCCACAACAAGGGGTGGTGAAGAAAGCAGAGGGTGACTGGCTGTCAACTGGCCAACTAAGTCTACAGGGAAGAAGCACACTAGCCTGTGTGATCCAAAGATGATGATAACAAAATCCGAGTATGATGAAGGGGAAAGTATACGAGGTTCACTTGTGAACAACCAATTTGTAGAAGGCTATGGAGGACCGTGGGAGCCCCAAATCCATCTTCAGAACATCTAGTCAGATTGAGTCGTGTCAGATCCTCTCTAACCACAGGTGAGGGACTTGAACAGCTGCACTCTCAGTCAGGGATTATTGTAAACTTGTTATGGTGGATTGAACCATGCTATGATAATGTGATACCTGGTCAGTTGACTTCCCTTTTGATCCAATTTGAATTTGCTCTAGGCCCAAATATTTCTCCTTTGTTTCAAGACAAATTTCTTCTGTGGTTTATAAAATATTGTTGGTGGTTTTTTCTTTCTTACTCTTTTATTTCTATCTTGATATTATCATTATTCTGTTTTGTTTTTTATTGATTCTGTTAGGTTTCCCAGTTTATGAAACCCAGAAAGAGTGTATGCATAGAGATAATAACTACTGGTGGAATGACTGATTGGGGACAAGGGTAGGTGGGGAGGGTGAAGGGAATTGGGGAAAAAAGAATGAATGTGTGTGTGAGGGGGCGAGCATGAGAACTGATTGGGATGATTTATACACAATTCTTTTTTAAAGTAATTTAACCCTGGAAGTGTATAATCTGTGAATATTATAACAAGGAAACTACTAAAAAACTTTTTTTTTAAAAAAAGGAACCAAACTTGACACCATTGGATCCCATAGGCAAAGAGGGCAGAATTTTTGCTTAGGGGTCAGTGGTGGTGGAATAATTTGGAAAAGGATGTCAATAATGATGGTACAACACAAAGAGTATAATCAGTGGCACTGAATTATGCATATAGATGTTGTTGAATTGGAGAATGTTTTGTTGTGTATATTATTGCCGTAATTTTTTTAAACATCATGAGCAATGAGTACAAGGAATAAGAAAATGTTCTTGGTAATGATTGTTTAACTCTCCTTGATATGATTGAACTATTGAGTTGTATGGTATGTGGACGAAGTGCCAATAAAACTGTTAAAAATATTTTTTAAATATGTGATCTTTCAATATGTTTCGCATATCAATAGAGTCAAGATGAAGACTTTGGAGATATTATGCAGCAATCACCTAATCTGTATAGTCATTATAAACGAAATAACTAAACATAGCATATCTTTAGACCTATCTGAGCACAAAGATTTTCTTATCCAAAGATAGTACCATCAAATTATGTCTCCAAAACCCCCATCTGTTTTATTTGAAAAGGTAACTTGTACATGAAACTTTAAAAGTAACTTTCCCATGCATATCAATACTATTTCTTTAACTCATTTCTCTTTACACTAAGCCATTGCCCCTGAGTTAATTTCAACTCACAGAGAATGTATAGGACACAGTAGTACTGCCCTCCTAGGGTTTTTAGGGCTGTAACCTTCATTGAAACCATCTGCCATCTATAAAAAGATATAGTGTCTGGGGTCTAAAAGGCTGGAAGTTACACAAGCCACCGTTCAGCAGAGAAGCAACAAGTCTACATGGAAGAAGCACACCACTGGTGTGATCATGAGGAGTCATCAGGACTGGGTAATAGGCATCAGCAGACATATAACAAACAAGCAAACAAACAAACAAAGACATTGTTGAGAATGAGGGGGCTAGGAACAGAGATCAAAAGCCCATCTCTAGACAATGGAACAATCCCCCCACAGCCTGGCCACAGGGAAGAGATGAGTCAATCAAGGTACAGTAAAGCATTGATGAAACACACTGTATTTCTCCGGCTCCTTGAGGCTTCCTCACCTCCCACTACCATGACCCCAGTGCTACTTCTGAATTCAGACTAGACCGGAACAGGTACACAGGTATAGAAAGGGATGGGAGCTCAGCACACACAGAATCCAGGAACTAGAGCGGGAATAGTGATACCAGAAGGGTAGGGGGAAGAAGGGGGGAGAAAGGGAGAAAGGGGGAACCGAAAGCAATGATCGACACATACACCCCTCTCTAGGGGGAAGAGCAACAGAAACCATGGGGCAAGGGAGACAGCAGTCTGTGTGAGATACGAAAATAATAACAATGTACATTGTATCAAGGGGTTATGAGGGTGGGAGGGGCAGGGAGGGGAGGGGAAAGAGGAGCTGATACCAAGAGCTCAATAGAAAGTAAATGTCAAGAAAAGAATGAAGGCAACACATATACAAATTCGCCTAATTCAAGCAATGTGTGGATTGTGACAAGAGTTGTAGGAGTCCCCAATAAAATGATCCTTTAATGAAAAATTTTTTAAAAACCCTCACCTCCATAGAGTTGATTCCAACTCACAGTGACCCTATAAGACAAGACAGAACTACTTCTTCGGGATTCTGAGATAGTAACTCTTTAGTGAAGTAGAGAGCCTCATTTTTCTCTTGTGGGGTGGCTGGTGGTTTTGAATCTCTTAACTCGTGGTTAGGAGCTCAACGTGTAATTTTAGTATATGTGCTGCCGAAGCGAGCACATCAACGCGTAATTATCTATAGACTCATTTAATTATAAAGTAGGCAGTAAACAAAAATACCTGTGTACTAAAAACCAATCGTAGTTTTATTAAATTGAAGCTTTCCTAAACTTTCTTAAGTTATATTGTATCTACTTCAAAACTTTTTTTTTTACATATCCATACATATTTCTTCTAAGGAACATATTGCACAAAACAATGTGCTTTTACATTGCTGGATGATTCTTACTGCTCACATGATTTGTGAAACATTGAAGAGTGCTTGATTTGATTCTTATTTCCTTGTTAAAAGTCGTGACAGATGTCTCTAGTTGATTATAATAGAATACAGGGTTGTAAGCAAAGTATTACTGCACAATAGAACATTACTCTTCACAGGGACTTTATTCTTCAGGTCAGCAGAGTGGATACCCTCATGGGATCTCACTTTATCTTATTACCTTTGTAGTCAATCAAAATATTGGCCTTGGGCCTGATGCACTGACAGTTCAAGTCTAAAGTACATTTGGGAACTTTACCAGTATCAAGAGACATTGCAATATCCGTATCAAATACTTCGCTCTATTTTAAACAGGAAAACTTATTACACCAGATGAAAAGAATGGCTTACTTAAATAACAGAAGTACATCTTAGCCCAGATTTTAGGGGAGCACAAATGAAGATGTTTGTGATTTAGGTGTTCATATTTCACCACGGTATTTTGGAAAAAGATTTGTGTCCTTAGTCTGTCTGAATTTCTCTGACTCTCCCTGAGTTAGTTAATTGTGCCAGCCTGGCCAATAATCACATGTGGTGCTGGTTGAAAGG